ACAAAGACCACAGCCAAGAATTGTCAGACTCACACCCTACACAGCCTGGTGCATCCATTCAGCCCAGATTAACCCCTAAAAAAACGTAGCCCTTCCAGACATCCTCATATCTACTCTTCATTACTGCTAGTATCATCCATATCTTATTCCTTATAGGTTAACATCATGGCTTAGTGCTTGGCTTCAACGTAGAAGGTTTTTGGGTATAAAGGTTCACGCTCTGGATGCATCCGCACCTCTCAAGCCTAAGCCCTAAGCTCTAAACCCTAACCTCTACACCCTAAACTCTAAACCCTGATCCCTACACCCCAAACTCTAAACCCTAAGCCCTAACGCCAAATCTAAACCTATCTTTTTGCTGTTTCAGCACGCGTCTCACATCACTCAGACCAGTGCGGTGCCTGCATCCCAGTGCCCAGCTGATTTCCTGGGGATGTGCACAGCATACACATGGCTAGTTCACGAAGCTAGTCCTACGTAATTCCACAAAGGGGCACACAGAATCTTCTCATAAGCCTGATGTATGTCTGGGGTCTCTTGGGCAAGAAATCTCCTTATCTCAACAAGAAAGCCCAAATAACCTCTCAGAGATACTCTCTGTCTAGCAATCCGATGAAAGTCTTCGGCAGACCATTGCGAACAATGGATGTCAACAGAATATGTGGGGTTTTCAAAATAATCCTTGGCAACATATAGCGACTGTGATCGCATGACGGCCTCCTTCGGCATTGTATGAGCTGTAGTCTAGACTCCTAGCATCCCCCTTAATTACCCCTCTAATATTCTCCTATATAATCCCCTATATAACCCCTTTAAGGAGTTTAGACTATAGCTCACATAGCGTCTTTGAGCAGCTGCCTGTGGGAACTGCCAATCCATGTTCCTTGCATGCAGCAGTCAGTCGAAAGCCTGTATATCCTAGACCCTCGATACCGAGTCCCATAAAAACCCCATGTTGAAAAGCATCATAATTCAGACATTTCTCACCTAGGGAGTACCCGGCCGCGAAACAAACCTGGAACCCCAAATAGGGCCCTTCGCCCCAATCAAGGGGAATTGGGAAAACATACTATAGCCATTTTACTTTTCAGTATCCCCATATTACCCCGATATACTATACTACTTTCCATGTTCTTTTCCATTATCCAAATTTAACCCCAACATACTAAACACGCTCTAAGGCTTGCCTTCCAACATCCGAGGTCCCAATCCGTGAGCGGACACAGGACGCCTTCACAAGGTGAAACTGGAGTTTGTCCAGACAACTCCCACATCATCGCTCATCCATCAGAAATCCTGTATATTCCTATACACATCCCCCTATCCCTAAGCTCTACAGTGTAGAAGCTCAGTGCAGAAGGATCTCTGCTTCGACAAACCCGCGCATGCCGACAAAAGAGCTTGACTTTGCGAAAGGAACGGGTAAGCCACCCGCCTGTCACTTACTGCCAGAGCTTTTACTGAGTCCTTCATCACAAACCTAGTAAGATAATATTCCTTAGGGTTATATTAAAGTTATATTGGGATAATGTAAAAGAAAATGGAAACTACTATAATGGGGTTATTGGGGTTTAGACATGTTCAGGACTTAGGGCGCCATGTAAGGAATCACTACATGCCCCAAGAGTAAAGAAGCCATGCTAGCCTTGCGCTTGTTAGCAAGCCCCGATTACAAAACCTGCAAAAAGACAAGTGATAAGGAGTCTTCCCTGGAGACTGTCACGACAGTGTGCAGTCGACAATATTGGCAGAAGCGGTGTGTTCTTGCAATTTAGGGCTTGGAAGGTGTTGGTTCAGTAATGTGGCGAATAACCGAATAACCAACTTTGAAGCCCTCGCTTTGAGGCCTCCAGCCGTACTAGTAGTGTGTAGCGTCGGGCCCCAAAAGCTAAACCTCAATTTGCTAACCCTTCAAGCATGACTAAGTACCAACAAGAAGGCGTGGACCCCGTGGATTTTAAGTTTAGGGTTTGGGGGGAGGGTCCAAGACTTAGAGAGCTTAATTAAGGTAGAATTGAGATTGTTCAGGCATCAGGGGTCATTTGGGGTTTTGAGGTTTAAAGTTTAGATGTTTCAGATGAAAGTTTGTACTTGCTGAACTCTGGCCACCGGCCTACGTGGCGGGGAGCGGACTCGCAGCACGGAAAGCCGTTGTCCGTCGTTCTTCGTTCCCTTTTTTGGGGTTCCGTGGTTGTTTTGGGCAGCTTGGGGCCCAAATGGCCACACGAGCACAAGGATCTGCCAACAAGGCGTTAGGGTTTAGTAATAGCAAGGTTTCCATACCTTGCCCCGGTATGTGGGACCGTACCACCCCGCGGCGGATCCTTCTGTTCATGTGCTCTTGGGGCCCACGCATGCTTAAAACCAGGGTGCCCTTCCCAGCGCCAGGCCTGAATCTTGCATGTCCTGGACCTTAAAGCCTACTCTCCGACTCTCCGAGCGAGTACATCATCTTTGAAACTATGAAGCACGCAAAGTTAGCTTGCAGAATCCAGGCCTCTCTCCCAAACCCTGCTCAAGGAAATGAAAGAATCTCACATGCACATTTCCAAGTTGAAGACTGCGTGACAGACCTGTCGGCCTCTTCAACTCGGCACTAAACTTCTGAGCGCAGACCCAGAAGTTTTCAACAAGCGCCAGGCTAAGGGTTTGGGATTTGAGGTTTAGAGATTTAGGGTGCGAATCGTCGCCACACCAAGTTGCCTGGTTTAGGAATCAGACATGGGCCGGAAGGATCTCTACAAAGAATACCGCTGCCCCAAAGAAAGCCTAATGTCTTCCATGTGTCATGAGAAGAGGGTCCAAAAAGCGGAAAGAAACGGTTGGAATGCAGACATACCATACACGGTTGGGGTTCAGACCCCCGGGTTCAAATTTAGGGCTTTGGGTTTTCAGGTGCCACCAACACCATCAAAGGGAGTGGTATGTTCCGCTGCCCTTCCCTGGCTATGCACAAAAGAAGCCCAAACAAGGCTATAAGGGTCCTGTCGATAAATCACTTGATCCAAGTCCCTGCATTGATATGAGCTCCTACACATGGGACTGACCAGTGCCTTACTGGCCATACTGGAGTGGCGGAGTGGATCCTTGTCATAAGCCGCAAACAGCCTTCACATTAGGCCTTGCCAAAAATATAAGCCTTGCTTTAGAATACGGGTTATTGTACCAAGCAGTCTAGGACTCACGGAAACCGCCACATATCATCATGTAGACTTCTGTAAGACTATACCCCTGCAAAACTACCCATATTCACGAAGCAAACCCTCAACCCCAAATACTATTGGAGTTTTTACATCTTTCCCACTTGCAGGCCTAAAATCCATATATCATATATCCCAATAAACCAAGAGTATTACCCCATGTTCCTATATATATATATCCTGAAGCAGTATGCTTTGGGACTTAGGCTTCAGGATTTAGGGGT